ACAATTTGATTGAATACAGGTATCCATGGGACATCTCCTGTCCTACTACTTTATCAGTTTCTGTCCTACAGCTTTATCTATATCAGTTTCTATCCTAGTACTTTATCTATATCAGTTTCTGTGTTCTCTGAATCATCCCTGTACCATGATAATGCTTCCCCATTTGACTACTAGGACTTTCTGAGGAGTGACTTTAAGAGTCAAGTCCCGAACCTGTGGACAAAGTTGTATAGAGAGGAAGTTAATTCAAGCCCTCTAGTAGATAGCACTTATCAACACTTTACTGCAGCATTTGACAGATCTATGAACAGAATATCTCTTAGTATTGGTTAGTATCTGTTGCTTATAGTTCTGACTTAGTAAAAACAAAAATTATGGCACTAAGAAAAAGACCTCATAATAAAGTTTTTTGCCTGTGCAAAATGGTTCTGATAAATGAAACCAAGAAGGTGATATATCATGGGTTTCACCATTATTGTTGCTTATTATAAATATTAATGACAATACTGTCAATTATTTAATCGCTGTACTGTTGGAAAAGTCTTTTGTAGTGCTCAGAAAATCAATCATAAAATTTGAGAAAATTTAGCTGTTATTTATCGAGAGAATGCAAAGAAATCATGAAGAATATCTCTGAGAAAATGTAAAAAGCATATTTGAAGAAAAATAAAGCTAAAATCTGAGACATGATGAGAGCCATATCTGAGGGTAGATTAAGATCATATCAGATGAAATGTTAAAACCATATCTGAAGAAAGATGAAGACCATAGTTGAGAAAAAGTTCAGACCATATTTGAAGGAAAATGAAGATGGTATCTGAGGAATGATGAAGTCCAGATCTGAGGGAATGAAAGACCACTTCTGAGGAAGGACAAAACTGTAACAGGAAAAACAATGAAGAACATGTGACAGGGCAGGTGAAAACCCTGTCTGAGGATGGATAAGACCTTATGTCAGAAAAGAAAATGAATGCATCTGACATAAGAGGAGACCATATTTGAGGACACAGAACAATCACAGAAAATGAAAGGTGAACAGAATCCTGAAGTACTTTGAAGATCGCATGTAAGGAACAATGAAGAATATGTCTGAGAATATTTAAAGACCTTATGCAAGTAAACATGAAGAGTATAAACACAGAAATGTGTTCTGCTTACCTCAGCGATTGTGATAACAATTCCCAAGGAAATTTGAAAACTGCATCTGAGGAAAGTTGAAATCTATAGTTGAAGAAGGTGAAGGTCATTCAAGGAAATATGAAGATAAGATCAGAGGAATTGGGAACACCGTATCTGAGGAAATAGATCATATCTAAGGACAGGTAAACCCTGTGACTGAGGAAAGATGAAGATGATATCAAAGGAAAGGTGAAGACACTGTCTTTGAAATATTGAAGAAAATATCTGAGTAAAGATGAATTCCTTATCTAAAGAAAGATGCAGTCCACCTATTAGAACAGGTAATCACAATATTGAGAAGGATGAAGAGCATATTTGAGGTAAGACAGGACCTTTTCAAAGAGGGAATATAAAAACCATATCTGCACAAGATGAAGAACACATACAAGGGAGAGGAAAAACATGTCTGAGGGGACATGAAAACTATACTAAAAGAAATACATAGAGCTTATCTTAGACCACATCTGAGGAAAGGCAAGATGACATTGTAGGAAAAGTGAAGCCCTTATCTTTGGTATCGTGAAGATAATACCTGAGTCAGTATGAATACCATATCTAAGGACAGCTGAAGGCCTTATCAGGAGGCAAGGTGAACCCAGGATTTTAGGGAAGGTACACAGCATATCCTCAGAAAAATGAGGAAGATATCTTAGAAAGATGAAGTCCATGAGGAAAGAAATAGGAAAAACTCATCTTACAAAATGTGATGATGCTGTTTGATGAAAAGAAAGACCATCTGAGGAATGATGAAGACAGAATCTGAGGAAAGATTACAAGCATAGATAGAATAAGACGACACACAAGGAAAGCAGAACAACATATCTGAGGAAATACAAACACCATATCTGAAGAAAGGTGACAGTCATGTTTGAAGAACAATTAAGTTCATATCTAAAGAAATATGAAACAATTTCTCTCATAGTATGAACACCATATACGAGGAAAGAAAAGTGTGCATCCTTGGAAACATGAAAACCACATTTGAGGAAAAATATATATACCAACTTGGGGATTTGTAAAAACCATGTGATGATATATTCAGACTGTATATACAGAAAGCAGAATACTGTATATGCGGGTATGTGAAAACCATACTTGAGGGAAGTGAAGAAAATATGTGACAATAGATGTAACCATGCCTTATAAAAGTGAAGACCAAATCTCATAAAATGTTAAGTCCATATTAGATGAAAGAGAAGAGGTCATTTATTAAAAGATGAAGGAGAAAGAAGATGACCACATATGTGGAAAGGTGAAGATTATATATAAGATGAAGACCCTATCTGAGGAAATGTGAGAGCAAGATCTTGGGAAAGGTGAAGACTGTACCTGAAGATAGATGAATACCCTGTCTGAGGAATGATGAAGACAATTTCTGTGGAGGCAGAGATACTACATCTGAGGGAAGAAAACCATCTCTCAGGAAACAGCAGTCCATGTTTGAGGAGAGAGGAAGACTAATTTTGAAAGATGAATACCATACCTGAGGAAGGGTGAAAACAATATGAGTAACCTGTCAGAGGAATTATGGCCACCTGGTGCTTACAGTGAAGGGAATGCAGTTCTGTATGTGGTCAATGATAGAGTCCATGTTCACATAAGCCTGAGGTCATATTTTCTCAGGTTTTGCAATGTCCAGGGTCAGTCACACCAGGACACTCTGTGTTGGCACTTTCACAGTGTGCAAAGTGGATGATGGAGTTCAAGTAAATCTTGAAATACATCCATGTATGACCTAGAATTTAATCTGCTGCCCCAGGTCATAAGTACAGGAGAACAGTTGGCCACAGAGGTCCAGTGCAGCACTGATGCCCTGGGATAGGTAGAGGAGGTAACACCCAAGGAGGAAGGGCCATTGTTGATACCTTCACTGAGACTTGAGGAAAGTAACTCACAGGTGCTAAGGATAAGTTTGAATCAAAACAGGAACAAGGGCAGCAGAAATGTCATGGAGTCACACAGGAGTCACACAAATCTCAAAACATAGTCAATTAACCAAATAGTACCCACATAAAGACAATATGTTAAAGCAATGTTATTCCTTTTGGGTGACAATGTGGTGTTAAAATCCACAAACACAACTATCCACTTAACCTAATTTGAAAAAGTCTTAGGTAGAAAAGATGCTGTTGGTAATTGGATTAAAGGTAACACTGTGCCATTGCAGAGAGAGCAGGTGATCTATGTCCATGCTGTAGAGATCCACAGAATGCCACATTGAAGATTCAGTTTATTTGGAAGAAGAAATATCTAAGGAGACGAGCATTCCTGCTCTGTCATGAAGATGATTGGCTCCTTGGTACAAGTCCTTGTAGTGTCCATGGAAGAATGGACTCATGAGATGGAACTTAGGGAATGGTGAGTTTGGCACCTTGAGGACGTAATTTTCAGTGACTCTCTTTTTGTCCCTGGGGAATATGGCAGGAATGGAGCAGTGCTCCAATGGACCTCTGAGATAAAGGGTCACTTTCTTCTGGTTTCAGATGTTAAGGGAGAGATGGGGGAGTTTGGTCCTTTGCAATACTCAGGACAGGAGAAAAAGGTGGATTCGTTGAAACAGACAATCTGATTTGTCCTCAGTGTGCTGGGTCCATTTATGCACGAGGAGGATGAGATTTAAATGCAATCCTGTTTGTTTCCTTGGGCCTGGGTTACCTCCGTCCTGGGTCCAGTCTGAATTCCACAGGCTTTCCTCAACTTGGAGCTCTGTTGAGTTGTCTTTTCTGATGGGAAAACCCCAGGATCACTGAGTATCCTCAGGATCTGATCCTAGTGTCCACAGCTGAGTAATTTCTGTTCCCATAAATGACACTTCAACATTTGTGCAGGTGAGAATGTGTCCTTCTGTAAAAATAAATATATTTTTTTCATCTGAATTATTTTTTTAATTTTTAAGTGTTTTATTATTCATATGTGAATACAACGCTTGGGTCATTTCTCCACCCTGCTCCCACCCCATCAAAAAGAACAATTTCACTGTGGTATTGTAGCAAGGAAGAAGACCAGAAGAAAACAGTCTAGGCCTGAGTCCAGATACAGGAGCAGGGAGGTAGGGATGGCATAGTAGAGAGATAAAACCTGAGGAATCTGAACTTGTGGAAGGTCACATAGCACTGGGGAGGGGAAAAAGTCATGTAGCACTAGGGTAAAGTAGCCTATAAAATTAAATATAACCATATACGGATCAGACCTTGCTTTTTGCTTCTTTAACCTGCTTCCAAGGGTACATAAGGGGAGACCACTTTGTTCTTGGGACTCAGCCTTTGGACATGAGTCCACTGAGTCTGTGCTGGCAGAAAAAAACCTTTCTTCCTGCTAATTGCCTCAAGAGTCCTGCGTCTCATCTAGCAAACTCCTGAAACAGTATTTTCATATGTGTATATAATATACCTTGTTCATGTAGACCACATTTGCACCCTTCCCATTTCTATCACTTCTTCTAACCCAGTTCACCCTTTTTGGGGAGGCTCACCTCTACCTTCATGTCATTTTTTATTTCACTTTTTTTTGCCCATCTATTCCACTTATGAGAGTAAACATGCAATTCTAATCTTTCTTACTCTGGCTTATTTCCCTTACATGAAGCACTAAAGAACACATGTAAAAACAATATATTCCTGTGTAGGAATATAAGTGCAAAGCACAGAAACAGGAAACCAGAGTCTCTTTTGGGAAACAGTCCTGTGGAGAGGAAGCCCCAGACCTGACAGGAAACGTAACCTCCCTCTGCACCTGCACATGGCTGACCCTGAACTCGGTGTGTCCTGTGCACCCCCTGAGGGTTGTGAGCCTCCCTGCAGGGAGGTTTGTGTCTGGCTCACACTGAAGTTCACACACGGTGTCTTTTGCACAGTAATACGTGGCAGTGTCGTCTGCTCTCAGACTGTTCATTTGCAGATACAGTGTGTTCTTGTTATTGTCTCTGGAGATGGTGACTCTGCCCTTCACGGAGTCTGCATAAGTTGTGCTACCACCACTCCAATTAATGTATGAGAGCCACTCCAGCCCCTTTCTTGGAGCCTGGCGGAACCAGCTCATGTAGTAATCATCGAATGTGAATCCAGAGGCTGCACAGGAGAGTTTCAGGGACCCACCAGGCTTCCCCAAGCCTCCCCCAGACTCCACCAGCTGCACCTCACACTGGAAACCTGCAAATACAGAGAATCCTGGTCAGGAAAATGTCACATATACCCACTCTTCCTCTCACGCATGTCCATTCACACATTCAGCATCTTGTTCTCCACAAATCACCTTTTAATATAGCAACAAGGAAAACCCAGGTCAGCCTCAACTCCATGGTGACTGTGCTGTGTTCAGTGCTGATCGCTGAATGGATCAGCTGGGAATCCAGGTTGGGCTCCTCAACCAGAGCTGCAGGGTCAGGGCTGGGCTTGTTTAAATGAGCAGAGGAAAACCCTATTTGCATGTCACTCTGCTATACAGAAAGTTCTTGTTACAAGTCTCTGTAAATGCAGTGCCTAGAGAAGATTTGAAAGTTCTTGTAGAGAGTCTGACAATGACTATAATAATGGAAAAAAGGGAAAATTGGATTGGTAACCAGTGGGAGGGACAATGGGAAGAGGACAGAGGCAATGGAGTGAAAATAAACAAAATACTCGTACTCATCTATGAAAATAAAGTAAGGAAACATGATAAAATTGTTTAAAAATAGGAGAGGGAAGATCAGATAAAGTCATAGATGGGTGAATTTGTTCAAAGCACAATATATGCATGTATATAAATATAAATGAATGCCCCTTTAACAATTAATAGACATTAAACAAACTATAGAAAATGTGAGATCTTATCATGTGATTATTAAGCATTATGAACTTGTCATCTCATTTAATGTTTTGCACATACAAAAATGTATCATGCAAATGTTCAATTTCTTTTCATTTAAACCATGTGGAAATATAAAAACAATTATAAATGTTTTGGTGACGTGTATAGGAGTTCATGAAATGTGACAAATCCCGTGTATATGACTCTGTGATTTTACACGATCCCCTCACTGCTCCCTAAAGCCACCTCTGGTCAGAGTGAGGCACACCTGGTGAGCAGTGAAGCATCCCCTTTCTGTAATGAGCACAGGTGTGACATTCCTGCATTCTAGAGTTTAGTGAAAGAAAACAGAGAACCAGGTTTCAGGTAGATGCATGATTGTGAGTCTCTGGCATCTCATGTCACTGTGTATCTCAGTCACTTTTTGCACATTTGCATGTGTCTCTGTGAAGCAAACTTAATGTGTTTAGCACAGGATGTAATAAACTGCATATTTATACATAGCCTGTTTGATGATGCTGACAGTGTGGATACTTGTTCACCATTAGCACAAACAGGAACCTGTATTTACTACTCATGTGTGTCCTTGGGTTCCTCTGTAATCTCCCTCCCACCTTCCCTCCTCCATCCTTTCTGCAAACAGCTCATGGCCTTTCTGTTGTGTTACATTAACTTCATTTTTCATAATTTATCCAACTATTGTATGAATTATATACTTATAATTGTTTCTTATCATTAAATAATGTTTATTGAAAAATCCCTCTGTGTTTGCTTTATGCTCACTAATTTTGCCATAGATTAAACATTTTAACTTTTATCAATTGACCAATTAATGGGTGTTGAGATTTAAATTTCAGTTTATTACATACTAAGCTGTTATTCCGCTTGCATTGGTAGAAATCTGACAAAAGTTGCTCTTATTCTGACAGCAACAATATTGAACAAGACTATCTGCTAAACAACAAATTAACAAGATGACACACAGAGGACAAGATGACACACAGAGGACATGGACCATGGAGACTCAGATTTCTGCCTTGAGATGTTCACAACAATGTCCTGCCCTCAATTCCTGCACTCCACATCAGTGATGGGAAGTGGTGTCCCTGGGGCAGAGGTCACCAGACACCAAAAAGAAGAAGGTCACACTAGACATGGTTGATGGATTACTGCAGACCAAGTGTGCTGGGATATCAGCATGTGAATGTTCCATGGTGCACAGACTCAGGGGGTCTGTATATTTTTATTCCTAAATCCAAAGACTTTGCACCTTGTGACCTACAAATGGAACAATTTTGTCTATCATGATTCTGGAGCTGAGAAGTCCATGAAGAAGTCAATGGCAGATTTCTTGTAGGTCAGTGCTGGATCCCTGTTTCCAATTTTCATAATGACTTCATCCTCACATGGCAGAAGAGAGGCTCACTCTCTCCTCACATTGCAGAAGGGCACAAAAGAGGTATGTCCCTTCTCACAATCCCTGTAACAGGACTACTGATTCCATCTAATTAGTTAAATTTCCCTGAACTAATATCCTACATAGGACACACCTGTGAATACCATCTTGTTGATTAAGTTTCAAGCCTGCACCTTGAGAGGCCCAGGTATTCAACTGTAGCTTCCCAGAATGGACCTAACAAATTAATGTCCATCCAACAAACTAAATGCAAGTCTCCATGGCAATGGTAACAAAGAAGCTTGTTCCAGTATCAGCTATAAAATCTAAGTTTAAAGTTATGTGGTATAAACTTAGTATTAAATCAACTATGGGGGACACTGCAGGTATATCTCCCTCCTTATATTCCAAAATGCCATTCCAAAATGAAAGAAGAGGAAGAAGAGATGAATAACACATTCCCGTCAAACCTAAAGTTCACTGAGACATGCAATGAACTTTAAGATTCACTTTTTGAAAGGAATGCATCCATAAGCCTGGCAGCCCCAGCTATAGTTGGCTATGTGCACATGACACAGGAGCCTCATGCATGTGAATGGGTTTCCTCAGCTCTTCATGGCTGGTGTTTCATAATGAAGCCTCTTTAGGTCTGGTTTCTTAGCAGCAGTACCACCCCCAGATGTGCTTTACAAATTCTTCCTCTTGAGTCTTCCTGGACTGGCCCTAACCACACAATTATGCAGGCATTTCCCCCGTGGAGGTTCTCTGCACTGTCTCCTCTTCAGCAATGATTTTCTACCTTTCCCTGAGGCTGTATGGCCATCCTTGAAACTCTAGATGGAGGCTTCTCTCCACTTATAGCTCTAGGATTCTGGGGACATGCAGAGTGAGCACCAGATAGGCGCCATTAAGGTATTTGGGCTGTGTTCTCTGCAGAGGCAATTATCAATGTCTACACTATACCTGGACTGAGGACAGTGGTATGGGATCAATTGCAGTTGATCCAGAGCAATGAACCATGAATTCAAACAAGTGCTCTTGGTGCTCTGCCATGCTGTCTTACCTGAATAATTCTATTCTCTGTTACTGTGATGGAATGGCAACTTCTGAAAAGAAGTGTTTGTGTCATTCCCTGATTTTCCTAATGAACAGACCCTGGTGTCCTTCTGTGCACACCAACCTCCTTATCACCAGTCCCCCTGGCCAAGGCCTGTGTGATCTCTTCCATCATGATTTCCCTCCTCCCCATTCTTTACAATGTGTCTAAGCTGATAATTTTCCATATTGTATGTTTGCCTTCCATTTACCTTAAATTCCATGCTTTTCAAGTTTTTCTTATTTGTTTCATACAAGCAGTCAGGGAAACCAGTGTCATCAACTCACTCTGTGCTTAGAGATTCTCTGTCACATATTCTGCTTCAGTTTATAGTCAATGATGAGCCACACATAAATCCATAGTATCATAGGACACTTGAAAATTTCTTCAACTCCTAGAAAAACAAGAACAAGAAAATTCCAAAACAAATAGGAGAGAAATAATAAAATAAGAGCTGAAATCAATGAAATAGAAAGCAAAAAAACCAAACAAAGAATTAATGAAACAAAAATTTGGTTCTTTGAAAAAATAAACAAGATCGATAGACCCCTGGCAAACCTGACTAAAATGAGGAGAGAAAAAACCCAAATTAGTCGAATCAGGAATGCAAAAGGGGAGATAACAAAAAACACCATGGAAGTCCAGGAAATCATCAGAGACTACTTCGAGAACCTTTATTCAAATAAATTTGAAAATCTTAAAGAAATGGACAGATTTCTAGATATATATGATCATCCAAAACTGAACCAAGGGGAAATTAATCACCTGAATAGATCTATAACACCAAAGGAAATTGAAGCAGCAATCAAGAGTCTCCCCAAAAAGAAAAGTCCAGGACCTGATGGATTCTCTGCTGAATTCTATCAGACCTTTAAAGAAGAATGGATACCAACACTCCTTAAACTGTTACATGATATAGAAAGGGAAGAAAAACTGCCAAACACATTTTTGAAGCTAGTATTACACTTATCCCCAAACCAGGCAAGGACACGTCCAAAAAGGAGAACTATAGGCCAATCTCCTTAATGAACATTGACGCAAAAATCCTCAACAAGATAATGGCAAACAGAATTCAACAACACATCAAAAAGATTATTCACCACTACCAAGTAGGCTTCATCCCAGGGATGCAGGGGTGGTTCAACATATGAAAATCAATAAATGTAATGAACCACATTAACAGAAGCAAAGACAAAAACCACTTGATCATCTCAATAGATGCAGAAAAAGCCTTTGATATGATCCAACACCATTTCATGATAAAAGCTCTAAGAAAACTGGGAATCGAAGGAAAGTACCTCAACATTATAAAAGCTATATATTACAGACCTACAGCCAGCATTATATTTAATGGTGAAAAACTGAAACCATTCCATCTAAAATCACGAACCAAACAAGGATGCCCACTATCTCCACTCCTATTCAACATAGAACTGGAATTCCTAGTCACGGCAATTAAGCAAGAAGAAGGAATAAAAGGAATACAAATAGATAAAGAAACTGTCAATATATCCCTATTTGCATACAACATGATCCTATACCTTAAGTCCCAAAAAACTCTACTCAAAAGCTTCTAGACATCATCAATAGCTATAGCAAGGTAGCAGGATATTAAAATCAACATAGAAAAATCATTAGCAATTTCTATACACTACAATGAGCAAACTGCAAAGAATGTATGAAAACAATCATTTACAATAGCTCAAAAAAATCAAATACTTAGGTGTAAACCTAACAAAGATGTGAAACGACCTCTACAAGGAAAACTCTAACACTTCTGAAGAAAGAGATTGAAGGAAAGACTGTAGAAAGTGAAGAGATCTCCATGCTCATTGATTGGTAGAAATCAACATAGTAAAAATGTTATACTCCCAAAAGTAATCTACATGTTTAATGCAATTCCATCAAAATTTCCAATGATAATTCATTAAAGAGATTGAAAAAATTACCGTGAAATTTATATGGAAACACAAGAGGCCACGAATAGCCAACGCAATACTCAGTCAAAAGAACAGTGATG